TTTAAATTTCAAATTATTTTCGTTGGCGCGAAAACGATAACCTTCAAAATGGCGGTACTTGTGACGTCAACTGTCTGTAAACACAACGTTAAGGACGTTAAGGTGTGTTCTCACAAGAGCCTCTGACACTTCGCAAACTGTCAGAAAGAATCGCTCAGCTTGAACCTTCGACTGCATTGAAAGCAGTTATTACGAGGCGTTTCCGTATTTATGCCCACTTGCACCAACCGCAACTTAAATTGGTCTTAGCTAAGTTAGGTCTTAATTTTAAGTTAGCCTTTAATTTAATTTACTTGCACCATAGACAAATTATGCCGACTTGGCAAAGTCGGACTTAATAATTTGGGGCGATGGCAACGTTGCGAAATCCTCAGTAAACAGACAGAAGTGTGACAAAAGTTGACAAATAGTCTTTTGTGGTTTTTCGGTGTTTGGGTGTTTCTGATTGAGAGTTTGGGCAATGGAAAAACCAAATTCTAAAAAGCAGAGGGGCGCGAATTTTACATTAGCATAAAAAGAGGCTTTAATTAATATAGTGGAAAGACTTAAAAATATTATTGAAAATAGAAAAAAGCTGATGCTCTATCCATTCATGAAAAAAACGGGGTCTGGGAGAATGTATGCAGGAATTTCAATGCTGCTTCACTGGGCATGAGAGAGAGAAGTTTGGATTCTTTGAAACAGTATTATAAAAATCAAAAAGAGGATCTACAGAAACAAAATAAGATATATGAGAGATTTATAGGTTATTACGGGCAATCACGGGTTAAATTTTTTGTTAGAACCCACCTTAGGGCCGGTTTCTCAATAGCGAGTCACTCCCGGGTTAAGCATGACTCCAGGGGCCGTATTCTTGATTTCTGGGAGGAGAACTTGCTCGGGAAGTGAGCAAGGTTCACCTCAAAACGGTACATGTCATATTCTTGAAAATGGGGTGAAAGTTGCCGGGAATTCTGAAGTTCCCATCCTCTCACCCAAGAGAAAACGAGTTCCCGCCAGGGTTTCTAACCTCAAAACTTGACGTTGTTTTCAAACTTGACGTTGTTTTTGTATTCTCCTTTCAAGTTCACCAAGTTCACGGCTTTTTCGTTTTTATGTGTGTCATTTTTATGACTGTGGATTATTTTAATGAGATTATCTTGAATACAGAACATAATCCAAGAAGACATGGGAAATGCTGCGGAAGCGAAAGAAATAGGATGGGATGTTCTGCGTCGGAGAATTCTTTTTCCCTTGATCAGAAATGCATGAAATTTTTAGGAGTGAGCAAAAATTTATGCCACGAAATAGTGGACATGGTTACTCCGTATGTTACCGCTTCAATGCAAATCCCGGCTTCAACCAAAACTACAAAGGTATGCATTGAACACAATATTCCAGAAGTTGATGAGCCACATGAAGTTCAGGAACAGGAATACGGAATTTATGCTGCGGAAAATTATGCGGAATATTTCCCTCATGTATAAAAAATCCCAAAGGAGGAATACAATTATCGAAAACACAGCGATGATGCTCATAGGGTACCTAATTAAAAATAAATAAATTATCAAACCCAAACGCCTTTCAGCTTTCAAAGTTTGGAAAAATAGACAATAGTAAACATCAAACGTTGGGGTTAGATTACTTCCTCTTCGTTTTTTTTGCTTGAAAATACGTTTTGGTTAGTCCGAGTGACACTCGCATAGGCGGCAACATTGCGAGCGTTTGTGGGTATTCAAGAATACGACTTTTTAGCTCCCGGGAGCGAAAGTGAACTAGCTTTCCTGGGAACGTTCCCGGGAACACTCCCTTCCCGGACAGTCAAGAATATGGGGCCAGGGTAAACATAGCAACTCGTCACGCTTACCCTGGAGTTTAAACCACTGTAGGTGACTCGCTATTGAGAAACCGGCCCTTAATGGGTTCTAACAAAAAATTTAACTTAATTTAACCTAACCTAACTTAAGACTCAATTTAAATTTATTTTTTGTCGTTCATAAAGAACTTTAATTTAATTTAAGATTTTATATATTCTGCCAATGATACATGACGTATGCCAAAATTCGCGTTTGCGCAATGCCCTAAATCTACATTCATTTAAGGAAAAGATGAAAGTTAGCGAACTTCTTGTTAAGTTAGGTTATATCTTAAGTTAAGTGGAGTTGTATGAAAGCCGTCGTTAGCCTGCATATTCCGAACTTCTTAGGTTAAAGTCTGTTTTTTTTTTTAAGATAAAAGTCGAAATGACATTATGTTGACAATACAATGTAAAATTGTCAATGCTTTCAGTAGAAAAGGCTTGTGTTGCCAACATAGTTACTTAATTTTTGACTTGGGAAATTATCTTTAAAAAAATACAGACTTTAGGTTAGTTTAAATGTTCAGTTAGATTCAATTTTCTGTTAGAGCCCAACTTTATATTATGTTAAGTCGAATTTAAGGCCTGGATTTTGGCGACTTAAGAAAATTCAATTTAAGGCTACTTTAAGTCTAGCTTGACTGCTGGTGCAACTAAAATTTAGAGTTAAGTCTTGGCTTAAAGATAAGTCCGACTTAAGTTAGTCTTAAAATGTTGGTGCAAGTGGCCATTAGTGCCGTATTGTGACATTTCGTGTGTTAAATCCTTCATCATAGTTGGGTTGATAAATGATTTACAAAAGCACAGTCTTTCAATCTTTCCTCTATACTAGAGTCATTTATAGTGGTTCAATATCAGTCGTGGCGTGACGTGAGCTGACCGTGGACGTTGTTCTACGACTCAAGAGTGAACCACGAAAGCGTGGACCGTGGATTCACGATCAGTGTAAACTACCCTTAACTTTAATTTACGAACAGTTGACGTCACTGGAAGCGGCCATGTTAAACGTAACTTTTCCGCGCGAAACTTTTCAATTTAAAACTAATAATTGCTGTATGACTACAATATCGATAAGTTTAACGCAAAACTGCTCATATTCAATATTTTACAGAAAAAGGTGCACCATAAAAACAAAATAAGCCATACTTATTTATTTCTCATGAAAATTCCCTATTGGATATTGTTTTGAGAATCAAATGATTGCTTAGAGGAAATCAGGTAATCAATTGAGAATGATATAAGAATCTTCAAAAAATTGAAATCACCTCGTAATAGTTATTTACCTAACAAATGCGCAGTGGCGGCTAGTGACATTCTAATTTGGGTGTGCGCTGGTATCATAATTGCGCCGCAGGTCAAAATTTTTTGGGGGTGCCACGCCCTTTTTTACATTAATGTTGATTTTTTTGTTTTTATAACGAAAAATCATCAAAAAAAAAAACAATTTTTAAATGAAACCACTAGAATATATCAGCCAGTTTATTCATCTACTTAAATATATCCCAAAATAAAATATAAATCAACATCAAAAATAAAAAACTCTTCTAATGTATAAATGAGGAGAAACAAAAGAATGAAAACATTTTTTTTCATAATAGGTAAAGTACGCTAAATGAAAGTTAAAGGACCGAAAGAACCCGTCGGTGTCGCCAAAAATAAATAAAAATAGCACAAGTTTCTAATCTTTAAACAGAAAGTCCATACGTCGGTTTTTAAGCCCAACAAATTTTTCCAAAACTTTATCATCAAAATTCGGTATCTCATGCACAAAATCCCTATTTATGGACATCATTGCCAAAGCATTCAGTCTGTCGTTTGTCATCGAGTTTCGGAGAAAAGTTTTGAGCCTTTTGAGAGTAGAGAAACAACGTTCAGGCTCAGCGGTATTCATTGGCGTTGTCATAATTATTTTCAGTAGTTTCACGAGTTCTGAAAAGGTGTTCTCCAATTCATTTTTTGAAATGAATTCCAAGGTACTTGTCGAGCTGTTTATTTGTGAAAAGTCACTTCTCGAATAAATTACTTCCAATTCCGTTTTTAATCGCTCCTTGGAGAGCATTGGGTACAAATTAGTAACCCTGTTAAAAATTTCATTTGGGAACATGGTATTAAAAGACGCGTAAGAAGTATTGGTGAGAAGGTAATTTGCTTCTAAATGTCCCCTATATGAAAGTCTATCCTTCAGTTGTGTAATTATAACATCGCAAATTTCCTTAGCAATCACACTTTTTTTGTCTGTATCACCCAATCGCTTACGTTTACCAATATTATTTTCAGTTATCCACTCTTGTTCGATTTCTTCAGTTTTATGGCGTATGCTTAATATAGATGTCTCAAAATTGGAAATTGATTTCTGTAGTTCAATGCCGTCTATATACCTGGATTGAAACTGATTGTAGAGAACATCAACATGAGGAAACACTTTATGGAAAAACGTCAACCAAAACATAAATTGAGAATCTTCAAGTGTTCTTATTAAAGCGCTGGCTTCTCGGCTAGTAATTGTTTTTTCAGTTTTTTCGGAAATTTCCTGAAAACTTAGTATCAGATTTTCCCTATTCTCGTAAACGGTGTTAACAATCCTTGAATTGAAATTCCATCGAGTAGGGGCAACACGAGGTAATCTAACTTTGACAATTTGCTCTAACATATCACTGCGGTTTGAAGAGTTTGAAAAAAATGCCGGGATTCCAGATAAATCGCTGAAAAATACCCGAACTTGTGTATTTTGGCTGGCAGCTTTTTGCATTATCAAGTTAAGCTGGTGGGCATAACAATGAACAAAATATGCGAACGGATATTTTTCACGCATTTTTGCTTGAACACCACCTACAGATCCACTCATAACGTTCGCTCCGTCATACGCTTGCGCTATTAATTTATTTTTGTTATTTTTTAACATTGGATCAATTTCTTGCTGGATACTTTCAACTAAACCACAGGCTGTTTTATCATGGACCCGCAAAAATGTCCAAAAATGTTCGCGTATAGTGTGCTCCTTAACATACCGCAATATTATTGCCATTTGACAGTAATTACTTACGTCTGTAGTCTCGTCGCACTGAATTGCCAAAAAATCCGCACTTTCAACCTCCTTGAAGATTTCATTTTTGCACACGGTCAACATACAGTCCAAAATGTCATTCTGAATGGTTTTTGATGCTCATTTAAAAACGCTTGAGTTTTCCAAATGTTCTTTCAACATATTGTCTAATTCAGCACTGTAGTTTATTAGTTCTTTAAAAATTCCACGGTTTAAACAATCTTCCTTTTCATCGTGGCCTCGGAGGGCCAATTCAAAAACACCACAGAACTTCACGCAACTTATAATTCTACTTAAAATGTGTCTATTTTTTCTTACAGTCTCATTATGTTTAGCAATACCCAGACGATAGGCAGAGCTTAACTGTTGTGCAATATTAACTTTTCCAAGTAACGCAAATTCCGTACTAGCATGCAAATGAGATTTCGAAAACTCGTGCTTTTTTATTTTTTCGTGTAAATGGTTTAAATCTGTTATGCCTATACGACTCCAGTTCTTATCCATATTTGTGTTATAAAATAATAAGCATGGAAAACAAAACAGGGAGTTCCTGATATTACATCCACATATCCATTTGTTTTTATCGTAAATATCGCTGTTAAAATGTCTAGTAAAAGATCGACTTTCCTTTTTCTTTGTACACGTTTGACTTAATTTTAAATGGGGTGTCGGCCTTCCTAACCTTTTTATTTCAATTTTCTTGTTTAAATCGAATGAAGAAAAGTTATTCACAATAATGTTTTCAACGGAGTTTTGGTCCATATTCACACTTTCCCTTACACAACCGGAACTACTAGCCATAGTAATTGATAATAAATTAATGACGTTTATGTTTATAATAAAAAAAAAAGACTCGAACAACAGGGTTATTAAACCGCTAAAATGGAGAAAATGCATCCAAGCAAATTTGCAACACTGGATTGAGTCAAGTGGAAGCGAGGGTGGAAGTGTGTATTCAAATAGCGCACGGCGGCGGCCTTATATCGGGCGATTTACCGAAAGCAGGACGCGCACTGAATCGACTCGGACCGGTCGACTCGGCGAAGAGCAGTCGGCAGTTTTTGATAGTCATGAAATTAAATGAGGCTCCGCGCACAGCATCGGATTCGTCGACTCGACGTGGTCGACTCAACACGGCAAAAACGGAGATTGCTCGAAGGGGCAAAAACTGCCGAATGCTCTGACAGCCATGGACGATTTTTGTGTGAAATTTAGTGTAGCGTTTGATACGTTTCGGTTTGTACTGAGTTTGTGTCCTGCTTCTGGTGCAGTAGTATCTTCAAAACCTCATAAAACTTCCTCTAGACATTCTGGGATATTGAAAGAACTTTTCCTCATCTTCATGCAAGTTGGGGAATAAATGGTAGAATTTTCCGTAGACCTTCCTTTTCAAATTTATATTATGGACTCAGAATCTTGGCCTCCGCATTTCTCTTCCATTTTCATGTCACGGTAGAACTATCATCAAACCTTGTCAGAATCTGAAGATTCCGTCATTTTCATCTTCTTCTGCTCCTCTATACTCGACATTTGGCGGACGTCTGCCGGCAATGCGAATTCAATGCGCGGCTGATGTTGATATTCCGATCGCTCTATTCCGAGTCGGCTGGTCCGAGTCGATCCAGTGCGCGTCCTGCTTAATCCCGATCAATCATCGCACAGCGAAAACGCATTTACCCGAGCGCCGAACGATTCCACACCGCCAGCCGGAACATCATCACAACCAAGCGGGAGAGAATATACAAGACAGGCGCAGGGCGCGATTTTTCGTTCCGTTTAATGCGAATTTAAAAAATAGAGAAATTAGTAGACAACGAGTAGACATTTATCTTAATTTAGAAAATATGGTAGTTTTTCAATTAATTTTTTTTTGTTTTTTCCAAAATATATATATTTTTTTTTGGATTTTTGAGGCAGTGCGCGCGCACGAGCGCACTTATTGAGAAGCCGCCCCTGCAAATGCGGAAAGTGATACTTTACCGCACGCAACGGCAGTTGACCGAACGACGCGAAGCGGAGTTCGGTCATGCCGTTAAGGGCGGTAAAGGCACTTTCCGCATTTGTTAGGTACAAAATTTTACCTATGAGCATCTACATCTCCAAAAAAGTGCATTGATAAAATTAATTATTGAATCAGATTAATTAATGAAATAAGATTAGATTTAGAAATTATCAAAAATCCATTTTCTGGAAAAAAAAAGGATTTTTGATTATAAATATCAAATTCTATGCGGTAAAGTACACTTTACCGCACACTTTGAAGTCCACTTTACCGCATACTATGCTGTAAAGTTAACTTTACCGCACACTATGCTGTAAAGTTGACTTTACCGCATAGTGTGCGGTAAAGTGCTACTTTCCATTTGCAAATACGTGCAGTAAAGTACACTTTACCGCACGCTCGTAGGTAAAATATTTAACAATCATAAGTAACTAGTTGTAATTCTTGGGAATACATGGGATTTATTGATCAGTGATTGTAGTAAAATTCAACTTTGAGACTCAATTGCTCAAAAAGTATTTGAGCTACCAAATTCAATTAAGCACAGAATTAGAGAAAATTTAATGCTCTTTTCAATGATATACGATATGTTTAAGTTTGCTAACAAAATAATATAATTAAGACAAAAAAAAAATAAAAAAAAAAAAAAGGAAAGAATATAAAAAATATATTAATAAAAAAAAATTAAAAATTATATAAATATTTTAAATATATATATATATAACAAAAATATAAATTTACTATCGATTGGTTAAAATTACGAAAATCTGAAAAATGAAAGTTTTGAGTTTTTAAATTTTTTTCAAAGGATTTGGATTTTTATTTCAAAATTTTCAAATTTAATTTTCTCGGAACCCGTCAGAAATTTTCGATCAATTTTTTTTTGAAATTGTAGCTCCTAATAAGGGCTTCAAAATGGTATATTCAGTTAAAGTCGCTAGCATTTACGGTTTTTGAGAAAATCGAGTTTGAAGTTTTTGACTAAATTTCGAGTAAAACAACTTTGAGGCTCAATTGTGCGAAAAGTATTTGAGTTATGAAACTCAATCCAGCACTGATTTATAGAGAATTTAATGCTCTTTCCAACCATATATAATTTGTTTTGATTTGCTCAAATTTCTTTGAAGATATTGGCCATTATTTCTAACCTTGTCAAGATTTGAAAAAATTTCCAGAACGAAAATTGAGATTTTTTAGCTTTTTGAAATCGCCATTTTGAAAGTGATGTTCGAATTTTTTTTCAATTAATTTAAACCCGCTGAATTGATTGGAAAAGTCAAAATTTCGAAAATATGAAAAAAAAAATCGAGTTTTCGATTGGTTTGACTAAAACAAAACCCCCCATAAGCGACGCCACTGGCCAAACAAAATACATGTTGCCAACTTGAAAAATAACCGGCCAATAGCAACAAGAGCCTGAAATAAACAGAAATTGAAATATAAAAAGGGAAACTATACAAATATATCAAAAGAACAAATACAAATTTATATAAAAATCAAAGGACCTCACACACCACTTATGAGTATTTGGTTTTCTGTCAAACAAATGAAATTTGTATGTTAATGAAGTAAAATTTTAATACATTACGAGGGATGTTTATAAAGTGTATGCCATTGTTGAAAATATTCAAAATTGATGAAATTTTAAAATCACCAGAAATTGTCATTTTTCAAAAAGTTCTTCACCAATCACCAGATTTTTCATAAAATCACCAGATCTGGTGAAATTTCACCAGACCTGGCATCACTGAGACAGAAGTAAATAATACGAAAACTTTATTAGATAAAAAAAATTATGTGCAGTGCCGTACACGTGGTAGAAGTGAAACTTCTCAAAAACTTTCCCCCGAATTGTATGACTTCGAAGACTTAGCGACATTAGCGTATAAGTCGGAATACAGACGAAGGACCACACAAAAGGGAGATGCGTATCTCCAGTGACGTCACAAGAGTATTGCTTGCTTGACAATAATAATAGACAATTCTCTTTGCGCTTATTATCCTTGATTTGTGGCAACCAATGTACATATTTAAATAATTTTGATATACTTACATTACATAATGAAGGTTCACGGATATAATCGAAGAAAATCATAGCACACAAATTTATAAATAACGAAAACAATTATAAAACACAATGATAAATAATAGTATAACAAAAGAAAGACGCGCATCTGTAGTGACGTCACGAAGGTATCGGCGCTTGTCAATAATAGGCAATACCCTTTGCGCTTATAATCCTTGGTTTGTGTCAATCAATAGCTGTCTTTCTATGTCTCTTTACGTTATATCTTTCTTCCCTCTCGCGTAACAAAATTTGCCCGTGACGCGTTTTTTAAATCCCTCTCTATTGTCGTCCAAATATCAGACCATCGCCTAAGAAGTATCACTTCAAAAAAAGACGTACAACGCTCATTACACAAGACGAGGCAAAACGTAACAAATCATGTTAGACTTAGACTGTTGGACGTATAGCAATCCATCATTCTTATTTGCACGGGATAAAAAAGGAACGAGGAAGACCGCGTGACGTGCATCGTTGTCAATTAAAAACCGTTAAAAAACTCCAAGTTCTTGAAGTTTCTTGGCCATAGATGGGGTTTTGTAACTTTTGTCACTTGTAAAGCTACTTGAAGTTGAACGTCAACGATAATTTTATCCTTGTCAAACCACAAGCAATGAACAAGGACAAGAAGGAAAGCTATTCGCATTTCGTCGACAATGGCCAGTTGGGAAGGGAATACATAATTTGCTTAGGAGATGAGAGCTGGTAGAATTATTTTCCTCAAAGTTATTGTTGGTTCGCTGTTCCTGAGATCTTCTTGAGAAGCGCTGGTGATACTTTTCGAAACACCCCAGGTGCCGTCTGTAGTTTGTTCAGGTTCAGCATTTGTCGAGAAATGTTGGTATGACGATGGCATTGTAGATCGCGAGCTCAGTGTGGAAACTCACTCGTTCAGTCGTGATCGTCAAACACCCTTTATTAGAGACGTCCACTGGCTGGCGCACTGGTGTTGAATTGTTGAATTTCCGCGTCAAAATTTGTGGAAAGATTACTATAACTGAGGAGTGGAAAGTATTCTACATTTTTCAGAGGAGCTCCATTGATAATCTTTCGGTGCGATGATGCATTCGTATTTGCTTAACATCAGTTTTATGCGAGATTTGAACGCCCAACGTCAGGTTTTCCTGTATCGAATTGAGCTGACACATCTTTGCTTGACTCGGGATATGACCCTTGAAAAACTCCAAGTTCTTGAAGTTTCTTAGCCATAGATGCGGTTTTGAGAATAGATCACTTATCAAGCTACGTCAAGTTGAATGTCAACGATAATTTTATCCTTGTTAGACCACAGGCAATGAACAAGGATAAGGAGATGCCCAGTGTACAAAATGAACACCTCCTGCCATTAAAAAGGCATTGCCTCGTGTTATGCGTGAATACAGGTAAAATAAGATAGGTCAATTCGGCACGTGTTCATCAATGGCTGTTTGCACCAAT